ACATATATTGAACCACCACTGCAGCACTAGGATGAATCCCACTTGGTCCTGATTTTTAATCTTCTTCATGATTCCCTGTATTCTGTTTGCTAGTATTTTATTGAAGAATTTTGCATCTGTGTTGAGTAGGGAGATTGGCCCATTATTCTCTGCTTTGGTTGGGTCTTTTTCTAGTTTTTGTATCAGAGCAAGTAGACTCCAGGAATGAGTTTGGCAGAATTGCTTTCCTTTCAATTTCATTGAAGAGTTTGTGAAGAACTGTAATTAAATATTCTCTAAACTTCTTGAGAAATTCAGCTGTAAACTCATGAGGATCTGGGCTTTTCTTTGTTGGTAGATTTTATGATTACATTTTCAATTTCATTGAGCAGTATTAGGTTGTTCAGAATTTTTATATCTTCTTGATTCAGCTTTGGTAGTTTATATGCATCTAGGAATTTATCCATGTCTTCTGTGTTTTCCATCCTGTAAGAGTAAGATTTTTGAAGTAGGTATTGATGACCTTCTAAATTTCTATAGGATCTATGCTGATTTTGCCCCTTTCATTTCTTTTTTCAGGAATTTGAATTTTTTCCTTCTTTTTTTTGATAAAGTTGGCGAGCAATTTATCTGCTTTATTTATTCTTTTAAAGAACCAACTCTTCAAGCCCAGGAAGACAGCTCAGTAGAGTAAGTGCTTGGCTGGCAAGCACAGGGTCCTGAGTTCAATTCCTAGTACCACAGAAAGAAAGAAAGAAAGAAAGAAAGAAAGAAAGAAAGAAAGAAAGAAAGAACTCTTCAATTCATTAATTCTTTATATTGTTTTCTTCATCTCCATTGAATTAATTTATGCTCTGATCTTTTTTAGAATTTCCTGACTTCTATAGGCTTTGGGCTTGACTTGCTCTTCTTCTTTGTAGAAGGTTGAGGACTAAATACAGTACTTTCAGACTGAGATACATCCTTAGCACTTCTTTTATTTTGATATTGAGACAGGATCTTACAAAGTGGCAAAGCTACCCAATGAGGAACTTGAACTTGCAATCCTCCTGCCTCAGCCTCCACGATTGTTGGGATTACACAGATATGCCACCACACCTATGGTTTTATTTTCATTGTCTGTTTTAAAGACATCAAAATTGAGTACTAAATTGCCTTTCCAATCTTTTACTGGAAGGACACAATTTTTCACTATCAAAAACTGAGGTCATCAAATTGGATTGGAGAAAAAGCAAATTTATAGTTTAAGTTCAACTGGATGACCAACAGCACCCTATGTTCACAGAAGGCAAAGTCAGGTCTTTTCCCATGACAATCAATACATTGAGAAGGTGTAAGACTTGTCTAAAATTTTGTCACTGCAGATACAATTGTTAGAACTGACAGTTATTTCAGACATGTCACAACATCACAATAATAAATATTGTGAAAGCTAGCTGATTTTCTCATTTTATTACAAATGAAAATGGAAAAGAAAATGTTTTTTGTTTCTTTTTAAATCATCTTAAATCCCAGATGATCCAAACACCTTACAAAATTTAGGTCTAGATCTAGACAGTTGTATCTAGTAGTGGAAATATTTGAAAACCAACTCTTGAAGATATGTGTGTATGTGTACATGTGCACATGAGTGAGTATATATGTATAGTAAATTTTACTGCTATAAAAAATATATAGCACACATTGTAGAAATAATAAAATATGTGATACTCTACTATAAATTGCTTATAGGCAGTGGATTTTCACAGAATGCTTTTGACAATATTTTGTAAGTTCTTGCATCAGTAACCAATCTATAATTGAAAGGCAAAAGGCATAGTTCCACAATTCATGTTGATTTATATTATCATGTATGTTAATGAGTATGGCAAAAATGAAACAACAAAAATGTATTTCAGACTTCAATTATACATCTGCAAGGCAGGAGGTTCTTCTGCTAAACTGAATGAGTTTTTGTTGCCAATAAACATTTCTTGAATTTGTCAGCAAGTCACATTTTCACAGCTACAGATATTATATACTGGTAAATTTAATCTGCGTTATTAGATTCTTTTTCCATCATTTTTAAGTCAAATGAAAATTCTCAAAACAATAAACTATGACATGTTTTGTAACATTTTCTGGTTTCAACAGCAGAAACACTAAGAGTAGAGCTCATCTCCAACCACGAAGTCCTTGAATGGTGGTCCAGGAAGCAGCGTTGATCCATGTGTCCTTTTACAATATTTTTACCTCACAGACACCATAGATTGGAATGATCTTGATGACACAGATCACTTTAAAATAAGTAGGAATTAATGATATTTGAGTATTCCTTACCTTTGTTTGTAATGGTTAATTTTACATTTATAGAATCTAAGTTTTAATAGCAGCTGTGTTTAACAACCAGATTGCAACATTCTTGACAAAACCTGGCTCTTCACATAGACAGAAACTGGCTCCAGCACATTACTGAGAAAGGGAAAATTTCTAACTCTGAAGGATCTCCATAAATCTTGCTATTCAACATGCTGTTTCTGGTGTAACTAAAGTTGGCAATGTCACTGGGTCTATTTTCTTGCCTATTATAGAAGATCAAGGTGACTTGAATTTATCTGGATTTACATGTGGGTATTAGAACATAGCTTTAGCTACAAAAGACATAAGATTTAGATTTACTAAAATAGTCATATAATTATTTTAGAAAATAATTCTAAGAACACTTCATAGTTCTTGAGCATATTAAGTGATTGAACCCCAAGATATAAAAAAAGGAACCATGTAAACTTTCAAGTTGAGAACAAGCACCTGGGGAGTTAGCTCAGTGGACTAAGTGCCTGCCTGGCAAGTGCAAAGACACGGGTTTGATCTCCAGCACCACATGCCACGCTGGCCCCAGGTACCAAGCTGGCCACCAATACCAGGTGTGGTGTTGCACACCTGTAATCCCAGCTTTGGGGAGGCTAAGATAGTAAGATCACTTCAAATCCAAGCTATGTAGTGAGACCCTACACCAAATAAATAAATAAAAGATTAATAAAAAGAACAAGCACCTTAGAAAGCAAAAAAAATTACCATCTGATAATCTACAATAATGTACCTCCAAGGCAAATGAAATTCACTACTACAGTATCTCTAAAAGTCAAATCTTAGCAAGCACAAAGGCTAATAATAGCATATTTTAGAAGACCTCTGAAGCAACTTCAACCTTCCATGGAGGCAGAGAGGTCACCTGACCTGATGAAAGATCCAGACAATGGCGTTATCAGCTCTCCAGTTGTATTCCACATCCATACTCTTTCTCTAGAAACATGAGAGACCAGCCTCGGAACTCCGCTGCTACTAACTTCACTGTCTGCAGCTCCGTGAAAATGATGAGCACCAAATATTTGAAAGGACGAAATGGTGTAAACTTACAAACATAACGTTTGAAAACAACACACTTCCTTACTTCTTTGTACCACCACCCACCCCATGATTTTAAAAAGGAGGACTCCACTGTTCTTCAAATTTAATTTTATAAAAGAAAGATTACATAAGCTATAAAGAGAAACTTCAGTGTTAATTGTAATAACTCCAAACACACGGGTTGCTTAAAATAATTAAATAATAGACAAGACACAGTATGCCAAAACTTCTATCAATACTATAACCCACCTGACAATAGGACTGTTAAACAGTAGTAGTATTAGAATCTAGGATTATAAGATTACATTCTCTCTTTTGAGAATGTTTTATAAAGCACATTTATATTCAAATTATTTGTTTAAAACCAGTTTTGCTTTAATAACAAAACAATAAATTTCTCATAGTAAGCTGTCTTTCAAACATTTATAATACTTTTAAGTTAAAAAAAAAAACTCTTTTCAGGCTACCAAGATAGCTCAGCAGTCTAAGCACCTGCCTAGAAAAGTACAAGGAGCCAGGTTCAATCCCAGGTACCACATGCAGTGCTGTCCTTGCTCCAGTCACACCGAACTGGCCACCCAAATCAGGCATAGTGGCACATGCCTATAATCCTAGTACTGGGGAGGCTGAAACAGGAGGATAACTACGAGTCTAAGCTGCATACTGAGACCCTGTGCCAAATACATAAAAAATAAACTAATAAACCTCATTTCTAGAAATGGGAAAGATGAGTTGGGTTTGAGGTTCTACAATTTATTTAAGCCACGTTTCCAGAGCAACACATACAATACTACTGTAAAAGTGTGGTGACAAGCAGTGAGTTAGGATCCCCCTGTGCGTATTTCTCTTACTACTAAAACAGAGGGTTGAGCAGGAGTCCTGACTCAACTCAACCATCTCAAAGCCTAGCACTGCCCCACACGTGCATTTCTCACATTTCTAGAAGCCAAACTCTCTCTTCTCAGTCTATGCCCCATCATGAAACTTATTTGAAACAAAGAGAATGAAAGATAAACACTTAAAAGGAAACTATAGCAAATTCAATAAAATGTAAATAGGAAATACAATACCAACCACCCTATTGCTCTATCATTGGATTAATATTCCATTCTGAATGATTATTTTCCCACCTGACCATCGTTACCAGATGTCAAAAGAGCAAATTGGGTCTATAAGTGGTAAAAACAATCTTGAGTCTTACGTTGAACTACTAATAATTTATGGGTTGGACACAATCTTATCAAGCAACCATGATATGAAATCTCAAGGCAATTATGACATTTGAAAGATCCTAATTCCAGAAAACCATCATATCAGAAACATATTCCCTGAGGTCCTGGATAACCTACACATCTTCTGTTTCATTTGCAATGTTCAGTTCTTACATCAGAGCTATCCCCAAATCAGTCTGATGAGTTAGGTGCATAAGGAGAACACATAGCCCTAGCACACCGGCAGCCTGCAGTGACACTGAATCTCCCAGTGAGACTGAGCCTGCCCATGAGTGTCACTATGAAATGACTGCAGCATATGAGAGAAAGGGAGAAATATGGAGAGGAGTAAATCAAAGATGACAACATACAGGTAACACTAAGACAGGTAGAGAAAGCAGTGGCCAACTGGCCCTGCATTACCATTGTCAGGGTTGGTGAACATCCTACTTGCACTGGAGACAGTCTTCCCGATGTCAGCCAAGGACCGCAGGTTGGACTTCTTGGTCTGATGCCGGTGCTTCCGGAGCAAAGTATAGGTCACCTTGTCCTTCAGGTCAGCTTTTAATAAGCCAGTCTCAATCTGATGGTCAACAATCATCTCTGATACCAAAACAAAAACAAAAGTCAAGCTAGGCACAAAGTCACAATACTAACATTTTAATCCCCCCTTATAGGTATACACTGCTAATATATTACCATACATATATTAATAATTTCCAACTCCCCATTTAAACATAAACAGTGAAATGTAAAGTACAGGGACACTGTCATTAACAACAGTGATAAATATTCTAGTGTTAACTGCATGATTGCAGAAGTATAATTTTCTTGTTACATGTTTTTACATTCTAATTATGATTAATTCATATAAATCACCTTCTATGAATTATACCATTATTATATTGCTCAATTTTAGAAAAGACTCAATAATTTCATGAATTCTATGTATTGGAAATACAAATGACATGGAAAACCCTAAAGAAAATATGTAAGACTTAATGTAGTGATTGTACTTATTTTTAAAATCTATTTTCCCAAATTTTTCTTTTCTGTAACATTTTCTTTCTACTAGAACAAGGTAAAATAAAGCAATACTCTCCTTCAATATCAGGTCATTAGAATGCCAACTAATTCAATGAAAGATGGGTTAAACCACTAAATTTTGCTCTTATCTTTTCTAAGAAAGTAGACTGATTTTTCTTATTTACATTGAATTAAAGCTTTGCTAAAACCAATTAAAGTCTTCTCCCACTGTCCATTGTAAAGTATAACCAGAATAATTTTTCTATGATATTTTTCTTAGGCTTAGCAAAAATGTTTCTATTAACTCTTTTGTAGTTCACTTTTAACTAAATAAGAGGTGGGTATATTTTAATGAAATAGTTTTATAGTTCTCTTTACTGAACAAGGTTATTATAACTTAATAGAAAGTAAGATATCCTCTGTCATAAGCCAGCACATCAAAGTATACTGTAAATGCAGCCTGCTGCAGCATGCAAAAGAGAGACCAACATTTTCCTCTGCACAGAAAGAGACCAAGGTCAAAGCAACACAGAACCTATCCCAGACACACACTGTCAGGAAGCTGCTTCACTTTTTTCACATATGGCTCTTGCCCCCTGTATCAAACTAGAATGATGGATGCCATGCCTACCTTTCCTGATATCTAGTTGTTTCTAGTGTACATACCTATTTTTCTTTTGAGCAAACTTCTCAGAGAAAAACACAAAGAAGAAGCTACCCTTTTGCAAAAGCCTGGCCAAAAAAAAATCATGAATAATAGATTATCACAACATCACAACCATTCCTAAAGATTCCTGCTTCTTTGTAAGTGCTTTGATTGGGCTTGAATGCACTTGTCAAAGTCCCATCATCACAGGATTCACAAACCCAGCCTCTCAACCTACAGCTAGAAACTGGCATCCTACACTATATAGAAGTAGATATGTGTAAGCCAATGGAGGCTACATCTGAGATTTGCATCATATGATGACATGGCTACCATAAATATCATGTAACCCTGGAACACTTGCTAGGGAGTCCAGCAAGCTTTTCCTGTGAATGCCTTGATTTGAGAGTGACTATTATCTCACAATAATCTTGACTATATAAAGTCCACTCAGTAAAACTCTCAGAACTGATCTTGTACTTACAATTAGGCCTCTGTTCCTTGTAAAATAATCAAATAATTATAGAATATACTTCCTCGCTTCCCCTTTAAATCCCATTACATGTGAGAAGTCCATTTTAAGAACCATAAAAATAAACAAACATCCTCAGCATATCTTCTGCATGTGTTATCAAACTCCTACTCTAATTTCAGGGTTGTGGATTAAAATGTTTTTTATCTGCCCTGCCTGACAAGTCCTCCCTCTACTCTTACCCTCCCTTAAAATGGCAAACCAATCCACATATATGCACAGCCAGTCCTTTGTCACTAATGCCTAGAAATCACCATTTAAAACATCTCTGTGGTTTATGCTCATTAAGTTTCCATTAAAATGGCCCACATTATAGGGATCTCTTTAAGCATAACTAGGAAAGGAAAATGGAGTCACTAACACTTTATAGCTACACTGAAATTAAGTCTTTAGTTCAAAATCCCACAGATTCTACCAACTGGGAGAAAATGTCACCTCTAGATGATAACAGAGCTGAAAGGAATGTTAAGGAGAAGCAAGCTTCAATACAGATTAGAAGAGATTCTAGAGAGGTGTAGAGACACAGATTAGTCAGAGGCAAAAATCACTAATAAAAACAAATTTTCTTTCTCATAGTGCACCTCTTTCCACATATAACATCATATTTGTCTTTATTTAGGAAGCTCTATAAACAAAGAATTGGCATATGCAGAGCTTTTGCAAACTAACAAATGGCCATACAGCAGCAAATGGCAAAGATCACACATAAGTATTACTCAAAGAAATGTAAAGAAAAAAATATATAGACAAATCTCCATTTTTAGATTAACAGGGACAGTTTAAACAACTTATGAGCATATTATGAATTACAGGATAGATTTTTTTAATTTTATTTATTTGGGGGGGCAGCTCAGCCTACCAGGGGGCGGGGTTGGCTGGCATGTGGTGCTGGGGGATTGAACCGCGGTCCCTGTGCTCTGCTAAGCTTGTTCTAAGTAGGTGCTTTAGACCACTGAGCTATCTCACCAGCCCAAATAGGATAGATTTTAATCTATCAAAACAGCAAAAATTAAACATAAACCAACTCCTCATGGTGCAAAACATATGTGCAATAGGTAATTTCAGTTTTTGGTATGACAGTTAAGCTGAAGCGTTAATTCAACTGGCCAAAAAAAAATAACTGTGAGTTAGGAAAAAGCATTTTAGAGTTTGTCTGGGTGGCCATGAAGGCCTGGCTTTGAGGACTACATCAGTCCCTCACCCCTTCCTTTTTGGCACTGTTTCCAAGCTCTGCTTCTCAGATGTCACAAAGTGAATAGTTTTGTTCTACCATGTCCTTTAAAATGCTCCTGACTTGGACTCAGAACACCACAGACTAAGTCTTCTGAAACTAAGAAGCAAATGAAAAATCTCTTCTTTAGGTCTACATGTTGGGTATGGGTGGGGTCCCAACAACAGGAAAATTGACCAATACAACTGATGGTGATGAGACTAACAAGCACAACTGCTCTTGAGGGTCCTTTAACTAATATACATGTAAATCTTGTAGTATTTTCAAACTTTTGAATATTATGTCATTAGAAATCTATAATAAGGATTCTGGCCCATGAGCTCAACTAGAGAAATTCCACAGATCTGTGGGGGTGACCTATTTCACCACTGCAGAAGGCAGGCAGATACTGGGAAGCTACGGAAGCAAAGTGAATCTGGCGGGCGCGCACACACACACACACACACACACACACACCCCAGGCTCAGAATATCTGCAGATCTGTGGCAGCAACCCACCATTGCAGAAAGAAGAGAAGCATTGGGCAGCTATGGGGACCTGGGGAGGCCTGCCCCTCAATCACCACAGTCTCAGGAGCTTTGCTGACTATGATATGCCCCATCATCCTCAGAGCCGTCATGAGCTACAGATTGTTCCCACCTTCGACATAGCATAAGCCACGCTGCACCCCATGTAGTGGGAGCTCTGGTGAGCCTATTACAATCCCCATTGTTGCATGAACCTTGCTGAATTACACCCCACCCCCTCCCATCACTGATGAATCTGGGTGAATAAATGAGATCAAAAATAATCTCTCAGGTAAGAAAAAAGGAATGACAACCATAATGAAAGAATTTCTCAGCACATCTAATGAAAACATAATTTTAAAAAGGAGATGAGGGCCAGCCAAATAGCTCAGCGGATTAAAGTGCCTGCTTAGGCAGACACAGGGGCCAGGAGTTCAATCCCTGGGCCTGCCATGCAGGCCCCTCCCCCAGGGCACACTGAGATGGCAATTGAGACTGGGCATGGTGGTATGTGCCTGTAATCCCAGCACTTGGGAAGCTATAAACAGGAGGATTACTAGAAGTCTGATCTATGCAGTAAGACCCTGTATACCCCATCCTAAATACAAAATAAATAAAGAGATGAAAAGAAAAAAGAATTTAATATTCCCCTATTATAAGTTAAACTTTCGTTTTTAAGAACAATTAAGCCAGATACAGAATATAGGGGACCGAATGAGAAATACTAGTTTAAGTTTGCCTCATGCAGTAAGCTACTTCACACATAGGAACTGAGGTTTGCCTTATACTTAATGTGCATTAAAAGTACTAATCTATTCAGCAGCTTTATGTCAAAGCCATCCAGTTTTTCTAATTCTCCAGAGACCTAACTAACTCAATAAAAAACTGCAAAATATTCCCATAGTACTTACAATATTTATTACAATATTTATCAACAAATAAACAATCTTTTCAGCAACAAAAGAAAATAAAATTGGTGAAAACTTTGAATGAACAATATAGGAAAGAATTAGCATGTATGAAACAGGAATTAAAGAATTCCACTGAAAGCTGGTAAAACTGCTTGAACAAAACTGATGATAGATTTTCAGACCTTGAAGACAGTGGGGAAGCTAATGAATGTGAAAGGAAAGAGCTCTAAAAATTAACAAGCAACTAGGAAATAACAATTCAGCAATTACACAATGATGCAAAGAAAAACAAGACTAATAGGTGTAGTCAACACAAATGACATAAAAAGACTATCTGAAAAATTAGTAGTAGAAAATAAATTTTCTAGGAAGCATAGGAAGAGAATCTGACAGCAAGTGAGGCATATAGAACTCTAACTAGGTATATCAAAAAAAATCTACACCCAGACACATAATAATCAAGAGCCCAGAAAGGCAGCAAAATACCAAAATGTTAAAAGCTTAGAGAAAAGAAACAGCTACCTATTATGGAAAACCCATCAGAATGATAGCAGATTAGAGACATAAATGACCACAACTTCAAGAGCAACAGAAAGGAACCACCAAGCAGAACAAGTAAATTAAACAGAGGGAAAAAATATGAAACCTACAGTAGTAACATAACATGACAAAGATAAGTCAATATATATCAGTCACAACCATCAATATAAATAGGCTAAATTGACCAATCAATAATGGATCAAGATATAAA